CCAATCGAAAACATCATCGTGTTAAAAAAATGTTAGATTTTCACATCATTTTAAACTTTTCAATTGCATGAGTACATGACTTTTCTATTGAATGAACTCTCTTCCAATGACTGAATTGATTTACCTCATGCTTATTTTATAGAGTTTAGGATACAGACATTTTTAAAAGCTAAAAAGCTTCTTTGGAGCATCATTTGTTTTTGGGAGCAATAATTTTTTCAATGCCGTGTATTTTTTTAATATCCGTACCATGTATGCGTACTTTATCAATATCCACATGTCTATACCAATTAAAATTCAAGTCCTATCAAAGATTTATACGGTACTGTTTTGGGAGCTTTAGCAATGCAACAAAGTCAAATTTGTATGTGAATTTCACACAGTTATCTGTGATAAATTGCTTCAAAACTTCACGATCCATTAACCAATAAGTAAAGAAATATTCGCATTTGACTGCACATGGCAGATATAGATCACCTTGTCTTCTGGACACAATTCATATGGAGCTCCTTCCACCAGCATTTACGCTTTGATTTGGTAACAATTGCCCAAATTCCCCGATGTGAAGATGGACAGGGTTTAGTAGAATTTATGAATGATTGGGTAAATCTGTAAGCAGGACATCAATTGTTGAGGTACCTACAATTTTTACAGAAGCTAGTTCAACAGGTATTTCCATAAATGCTGATTATTCAAGAAAAAGAGAAACAAATCAAAGTCAACCGCAAGCAGGAAGGGGACAGTGAACGGCGGCGGTGGTGGTGGTGGTGCAGCGCAGTACAGTAGATGAAAAGTAGAGCAGCGAGGAGCGAGGAGCGATGATGCATATGTGGGTAGAGTGTTGTTGGGCGGCACCACTGCACATGACGAGTGTGTGTGCGCGGCAAAGGTCGGGAAAAGCAAGGCAAGGGGGAGGTATCCTCCATGACCGCAACGATCCAAAGAGACACGTCGAGGGACGGAAAAGGAAGGGGTATCGGGAGAATCGAACTCCCGACCTCTTGCACCCTAAGCAAGAATCATACCACTAGACCAGATACCCGAGGTCCATGCGCTTCACAAGTCGTAGATTGTATTTACATCGTTCTTAAAACTGTCCATTTGCGAACAATCGAAACACAATCTATACAAGCACATTATAAAATTTATGGTAATGAATTTCGTAATGAATACGCGACTTGAATATGTATCTTAATTTCTTATCAACCCATAAATGTCATTTCATATATGGTTTGAACGATCGTTAATACCATCGTTCAAAAAGTTGATTGGCCCTAGACTTTTTATCTTTATTTTTACGGTTTTCTTTACCAAGCAAAGATCATTGTAAGACATTTTTCACTCTGCCATTTCAAGATGGCGTTTTCGATAATAAAACCCCTAATTTTACATGTTTAAAGGCTGCAGTCTGGAGACCTTGTTTTTGTTGCTGAGGGCTGGAACTTCCATGACATGTCGATGTGCGTTGATGCAATCAAGAAATTGGGCGGAGCCAGACTGGATTATTAATACCAATTTCATCGAAGGTCATTACATTCAAGCAAGATAAAGGTGAACGTACTCAGTATAACGAAGTGGGATGAGGGCCCGCCATAGCAATGGGACGAAGGAATGGTCCGCCATATATGAAATGACATTTATGGGTTGATAAGAAATTAAGATACATATTCAAGTCGCGTATTCATTACGAAATTCATTACCATAAATTTTATAATGTGCTTGTATAGATTGTGTTGCGATTGTTCGCAAATGGACAGTTTTAAGAACGATGTAAATACAATCTACGACTTGTGAAGCGCATGGACCTCGGGTATCTGGTCTAGTGGTATGATTCTTGCTTAGGGTGCAAGAGGTCGGGAGTTCGATTCTCCCGATACCCCTTCCTTTTCCGTCCCTCGACGTGTCTCTTTGGATCGTTGCGGTCATGGAGGATACCTCCCCCTTGCCTTGCTTTTCCCGACCTTTGCCGCGCACACACACTCGTCATGTGCAGTGGTGCCGCCCAACAACACTCTACCCACATATGCATCATCGCTCCTCGCTCCTCGCTGCTCTACTTTTCATCTACTGTACTGCGCTGCACCACCACCACCACCGCCGCCGTTCACTGTCCCCTTCCTGCTTGCGGTTGACTTTGATTTGTTTCTCTTTACGCGGTTTGAGCTATCACAAATTGGTGAAACGACACATGAACAACTCTAAGACCCAGAGAGGAATATGTTTTAGTATCCTGACAAGTCAGGATGTATATGTTTTTCCTACGTGGCATGAATAGTCTTGCTTTCTAGATTTTATATTGATTCCATCTCAAGAGGTGGTTTTTTGAATAATTTAGAAGTTGTGTCAGGAGTTGCTAAAACAATCCAATGTAAATTAAGAAGTCAACTATTTAATACTTCTCATAGTTGTTAGAATCAAAATATGAATTGAAGTATTTAGACCAGAGATAATAAAAAAATGATTTGGTCTATTTCTTGGCTCCTTTTTACTTTATATTATTTCTAAAGGTCAAGGCTTTCAAATAAGGGCTTCTCTTCACTATGCATGGGATTTTGGTAAGACATTTAAATCATTCACTTTTAAAAGAGGCTTCTTGGTACAAAGTCCTCCAAATTTCTGTACAAAAACATCTCTACATTAAGATTTGCCACCTAATGAGCTAATTCCAATTCATAAACAAGTTAATTTAGTGATGATTGGTTTTTTCTTAACAAAGTTAGTTTCATGATGATTGGTTCCCTCATAACACTAGAATGTTCGAACTAATACTTATCAAGCATGATGAAAGCTATATCTTAGACAATTTGTTTTTTGTTAAGTCACTTTCAACCATGTCATTTTTCCATTATATATGTGATATTATTTTGATTTAATGGTTAGTATCCTAATAAAATATAGAATTAAAATTTACTATTATTTTTTCATATATTGATAATTTTATAATATTTAAAATCAATTTCAAGCTATAATTTATTATATAAAATAAAACATAGACATTAAAATTTTAATTAATTTTTTGATATTATATAAAAATTAGACTTTGTAATACAATTTATACTTATAAAAGAAAAAATATATTAGATTCTACATAAATTGTTTTACATATATATATATATATATATATATAATTTTTAAAAAATATTAAATTAAAGATCTAATTTTTAAATTATTTCAATATAATATATTTCTTAATATATATTGTAATTTTGGTAACATTTAGTCTATTTTATTCATCTATATATATTGACACAAAATATTAAGCAATGTATATTTTTTAAATTGTCTAATTTTAATTTAAACTTTACAAATAACTTTAGTTAAAATTTTGTAGATTTATTATTGATTTATGCCACTACTAGAGCAACTAATTTTCATAAGAATAAGTCATTTATGTATAAAATCTTGCATAGTAGTCTAAAAATAAATACCTTTATCAAATAAGAATCATAACAATTGTAACTTTTTCTTTAATCTTATTGATCTTTAAAATGGCTGATGATTAATAGTCTATCCATTTAAGATTCTAAAAGAATAACCATGTTTATTTTTATATTTTTTATTTAATAATCTTTACAATTCTATTTAATATAATAGAAAAATTATTATTTGAATTTCTTAAATTTTAAATTTAATTCAAAGATGTAAAAGTTGTCTATAATTGGAAAATATTTAAATTAGAGATAATAACATTGTAAAATTTCTAAAAAAATCATTACTTGAATTATAACATATGTATCTTTGGTATCTTAATTTGCTATAACCTAATAGAAAGCTTGACAAACAAAACATTAGAGATTCTCCTGGCAATCACAATCACATCCCTTTTCTGTTCTAATACATGCAAAAATATAACAAATTATTGATTTATTTATACACAAAGAGACAAAAAAATTGAAAATTATTTCCCCATAACATATATATGTTAATGTATACATATTACTTAACTTATAAAATTCAATTAACTTTGATCATAAAATATGGCATATTACATGTTGGAAATGCCTTCCACTTGTGGCATTTAAAAGCCATGGAACAAATAAAAAACATGGACATAAGCATGAACAAACTCAGATTCATGATAACAATATTGTTGATTTATCAATACAACTCGTCATGAAAGAAACACAATTTTAGAAATTTCATCATCAATAAACAACCTCCAAGTCTGCTTACTCACTTGAGCTCGTAAGATCTTGAAAACCAGTATAAAATGTACTGCAGACTTTTCTTTTCCATGTTAAAAAAAGAGATTGAGTTGACGGCATTCGTATAAACATCGGCTGACCTGCCATTTTGTTGGCTGTGTTTGAGATTTAATAACAGCGTATGTGAAAGGAGGAAACCTGTATGATCAAAAAACGAAGAATGTGAATTGGGTATTGATAACACGGGACGTTTTGCAGTGGTGTGTGCAGGTCAGAAGGATTCAGACCTGCACTATCACAACCAATCTACTAACTGGGGTGAAATCCCGCTTTGGGTTTTCTACTCCCTGAGACATTCTCAGAATATTGGGGCCGCAGAAGCCGAGGGCTGCTATTCTGAAACCATACAACCATGTGTAGTGGAGATGTTAGACTCGAACTGAAAAACCACAGATATTTAGATCCGAGTCTAGCAATCTAGGCAAATCCTAGCGTTGTTCATTCAACAATATCCTTAACTAGGTCCCCAGTCTGCATGCATAGTTTAATGGCAGAAATCACCCCGGTTCGTGTGTTTGGCCAGGCATTTGCATGCGTACACTCACATCTTGCTTGACTTGTATTATCATTTGTCCCATCACTTGATTAAAACACATGGATTCTGAAAGATTGCCGAAACCTCAACTTGTCATGATGCACATTAGCTGAGCATTATTTTTCAAACCCATAAGTAACCTTGAATCATCAAGTTCATCTCAAGGTTGATGTCCTCTCCCAGCTGAAGCCTAGCCCAATGCATTTTGGTCAGCAGCTGCCCAGGTTCGTAACGCAACAACAACAATACTCAACATCCAAGACCACAATGCCAAAGGTCGCTTCGATTAATTTTACACGGGTAAAATAAATTTCATGAAATACAAAATCCTTGACGCCCGTACTATACGGCGCAAGATGAAACGGTACCAGTAGAGAGTACTGATCTTGACCAAGTTGATAGGATTCAATCAGTTCGTGCTCTTCTGGAGCATTACTCTGTAGAGGCCACCTACGGATGCTCAACTTGGTTGTCTCCGCTTGGAGGAGCCAATACTGCAAGCTTGACGGTTTCAGTATCTTCTTCGTCCTCGGACTCACCCTCCAAAACATCATGAAGTGTAGGTTCGGCATAACCCAGGATATCAGGAGGTAGAAGAGGTTGCTCTGGGTCAGTGTTAGGCACCAGGAAGAGAAATGGCAGAGGCAGCAACCGCATGCCGTTCCGTATCAAAACCGTAAGCCATAGGAACTGGAAATTTGTGCGGCGAATGCCTGTCAATCTGAGTATCACGCTACCCACCCATGAAGAAGACAGCGTTCCCAGGTTATCAATAGACATGAGAAGTGCAAAGAACGTTCCTTCGATTCCAGGTGGACATAATCTTGCTGCCAATACCAAAAGAGGCATCCATTTAATCCGTCCAATCGCCTGCAAACATCCAATGCATCAGCGTGCGATCCCTCATAGTTGAGATCAACAATAATCGTTACGTGAAGGATGAATTAGTATGAAACTAAAGACAATTCAAATCATTTCTCCAGATGGCAGTATTCGGAGACAACTTGAATAAATGGTTGTTTTAAAGGCTAAGAAGATTGCGGCTATAAATTCAAGAGAATCAGAGACGACGTGTAGGAAATTTACCGAAGAAACTCCCTCATCAACAACTGCAAATACAGTGTCTGGAATAAGCAACTTTCGATTAACACGAGTCACCATTACCAGGTCCAGCATCCCTGATAATGCTAACAACACCTGAGCCCACATGAGAAGCGTTCGAAATGTCCAGTGGCGCAAGTATTTATGATAAATACCAACACCAAGTAAGGTTCCTACGGATCCCATTGCGTATATTACACCTACAAACTCCTGCATAATTCAACGCATTACATGAATAATCCCAACTTCATCCCCTTCACAATGCATCCATCGTTATAGAAGTGAGAAATTACTTCACAATATGAGCATGCACATGCATAAATGTAAGGAAAATGAAAAGAAGATCAGGCTATAAATGATGAGCCTATACCTCAGAAAAACCTGGGCCGACGACAAAGTCATTGTACCAATAGAACTTGCCTTCTGAGATATCTGGCGACAGTGCCCACGAGAGATACATGTAGATTGTAGGCTGCCACACTTGAGGTATCTTCAGAGTGGCCCACATCGTGGAGCACGCTTGTTTCATCTGCTTCCCAACCTGAAATTTTTGCCACGATTAACATTCACGAATGCCCAAGTAGGTCCGACATCGATTATACAGCAGTTCCAAACCCTTGCATTCGTTACGAAATTATCTACCACAAATACCGTATGCATTGAGTAGTAGGTTCAACTTTGTGCCAATCGTGTCGTTCAACAATTTCCAAACGGCTATTAATAAGAGCATTAACAACAGCTTTAATCCCTTAGTACCTGGTTCCCGTTCTTTGCTGGAAATTTAAAACGAAATGGCGACTAAATAAATCGAGATTTTAAGCGTGAATACAAAGAGCATTTCCAAACTAAGCCCTTGAGGACTCATTTGCACGTTATGATGGGACAAAGAATACCTGGCCAGAGCGCCAAAGGTGACGAGGAAGACGAGGCTCATTAATAGTGAATCCTAGGATGAGGAGGAGTATTCCAGGTACAATCATAACACCTAGAGCACCCTGCAACCCACAAGGATACATGAATTCCAATACATAAACCCCCACCACAATATCTTTAACCGTTTCTGAGCGAAACTGGACCCTCACCTAGATCAAACTTGAACTTTCCTGCTAACACATTCTCATACACTTAGAGTTTCCCAATACACAACCATCATGTAGTATCTTAGATGTCATCATGGGTCTGATATCAGTGATATAGGGCACTTCCCAAAACACACGACTTCATCTGGTAGAGAAAAAATTGATATTCATCAAAGATATTGAAGGTGTTGGAAGAACGGTTGGTTTGAAATTGCTTTCGAAGCTAATGTTATCATTAACAAAATAACATTGAATAATCAAAACAGAAACAAGAGACAGTCTACATCACATCCTCATGTTGATATCGCCTCATATGCAATCTAAAAGAAGCAGACAGTTCAATTTCAAACCTGTGAACCAAAAATGTGCACTGCAAGCCCACTCAATAGAAACCCAGATAAGCTTCCGATCGATGAACAAGAGCCACACAAGCTTTGAATGTGAGTGCCAAGCTCTGGCTTTTCCCGACTTTTCATAGCAACCAACGCATCAATGGTCACATCCGCTATAGCTGCAGCTGCCGAAGCACCCACAAACATTGCCAGTGCTGTGGATGCTAGAAACTTGCCTCCAAGAACCAAAGATAGGTATGTTGACAACGTTATTAGACCTACACGCCAACAAAGGTACAATCCAGAGAAGAAAAAAGAAAAAGAGGTTAGGAATTGCTCAAATATTTCTGTCTGCTTGATGAGAAACCATTTGACTTTCAATGGATGTTTTTTTTCAAATTTGCACTAAATCAAGTAAAGTACAACTTCATGTACATTCTAAGATATCACTTAAGTTCTGTGAACTACTGAGAAGCAATCGTCGTCTGGAGCCGCTATTGTGTCCTGTTCAACATGAGGGTTACTCTGTGCAGACCGCTGAACTGTTAACTGTGCTCAAGCCAAGATAAAGTGGATTACCGTGATTTTAAGGTTCTGTGTAAGGACCTGCAAGAATGAAGTAAGGCCGGCGGTGGTACCCGAAAAATGGGAGTAAATCAGTGAGGAGACCGTAGAGAGGCTTCACATCCCACGGGATAACCGTGATCCCTCGGTAGAATTGCACGGTCGATGGCTCCTTTCCCTGTACGTCTCTCCAGTAGTAATCCACGACCACGCGACTCAAAGCATAGCCAATGCCCTGGCTTATACCATAAACTACCATGACTCCAAATACAAACGTGCCATCCAGCTCCCTGTTAAAATGACCAACGAAAATCAAGACAACCAGATACAAGCTGATAAATACTGGTAGAGGAGCACATTTTCCTCGACCAAGAATCAGGCGCGTCTGCGTTGCCAACATACACAAGCACACCTCCAAGCTCTGAGTGCATCAGGACGATAAGTGGATGGTTAACATGGTACCCTACCTGCACAGCATGGATATCCACCTGAAAGGTTGGACGAGAAATCGCCATGCCTGTGAAATCCACGCTCCCGCTGCGTCGACTGTCTGTTTGCCGTGCTCGTGCGTTTCTACAACATCTTCCTTAGGTTCTTCTACATGCGATAAGGTCACACTTTTGGGTAAAAACACACTGGCGTCGGAGTCGTGCGCGTATGCCGCCAGCTCAACATTTCTGTTTGCAAAAGACGGCGATGAACTAAACGACTCCTCGTAGCCATCACTTACACTAGGAGAACGTACTCTCATCCTGCGAACTCAGGGAAATCTACTGTTTCGAAATTGTTGAAAGACCTAACATTCTGACGGATAGAAATGTAGTGAAGAACTCAAACCCTCGTGATCCAATGTAAACACTTGATTCGGCCAACTGCTACACCGAGATGATCAAAGTCTCTCTCGTTAAGCAGAACCAGGACATCTACAGCTTCCCAAAAGAAAAAAATGGTTTCCGGTGAAGAGATTCGAGGGTTAACACAGAGCCCAGCTCACAATACATCCAAGGGGGTTCAGCACACATAGCGACCCACCAAAGCCAAAACCCTAGCTCGCAATGCTCATCACTTACGGCCGCCGACAAAACACGCCATTCTCTCAAGAATTGTAGATGAGCAATGTCGGTATCGCAACCTCCTAGAAAGGTGCACGAAGTGTTGAGCGATCGTCAACAAATCCGAGACCCCCAGTTGATGACCCACATGGAAGCAAAAACTGCGATCCACCCCGCATAACCACCTCATTCATCTGGCACGTACGCAAATTGAAACTACGTGCGATCAGGTGGAGAAAACGGAAGACATTGCGCTGCTCGCGGTGCCAGAGAGTCGATGATGCAGAGAGTGGGATCGACACCATTGCTGAAGTCGATAATCATCTCTCCACTTCACGAAGGGAACTCCCACGTCCTCGAACATAGTGGCTCTGCACCCATACGAGTACACTGGCTCACCAGTACCGACACTAATTGGGCTTTTTCGACGCTGCTCGAGCGTCACCCCTTACGCAGCCAGCGATGACCCACGCAACGCATTCGTCATTCATTCATGCACACAAGAATCTCGCCATCGCTACTGCAGATCCCGAAGCCTCGCGCCCTCAAACCCTAATCTCAATCTCAATCTCAATTTCACTGCTTGATGGAATAGATTGCCACACTCAGCGTCCATTAGCCTCGTAGAACTGTGGCCTCGAAACCTCTCAACTCAATCATCTTTCATTCATGCACACAAAGAGCTCTCGCGTACATGAGCGGTGTGTTTCCAGACACTTAGGAAACAGGAAACAGGCCCAGATGCAAAAAATTAGCTAAACAATTTCTTCAAACAAATATAAACAAAGGCGGAATGGAAGGTTTTATCATTACTGCCAGTTCTTCCTCCTGAATGACGTCCTATAATTGAATTAAGTGAAGGGGATTTAATTACTTCTGATTCAAATGAATTGTATAGAAAAATTATTAATCGAAATAGTACACATTGATTTTTTTAGCTAGAAGTGGTTATACACCAGGGGTTTTAGTTGTTTGTCAAATTAAACCAGTACAAGAAGCTGTAGAATGTGTGTACCCCTTACTTGAGTTGCTCCAAGCACAAGTTGCTGAGGATCTTTGGTCCCTTACTGTTGAACTGTGCTAAAAATTTGTGATTAAAAAAAAATTGGTTGTTATATACTGAAACCACAATAAAATTATCTCAATGATTTTATTTACTTCTCTATTCAAATTTTGTTAAAGAACAGAGAATGCATCAAATACAACAAGAAGAATGTATTAGTTTAGTACTTTACTTGTACTCAATTTCATGGTTAAGTTTCCATTTACAAGATTAATATTTAAACAATATGACATACCATTGTGAAAAATTTTATATATTCTATGTAAACAATTTCTGTCTTCTTCATTCAAACTAAGGAAAAGTTCGACTACACTGTGGGGAGAAGGAATATATATATATATATATATATATATAAATACTGCTGAATGAAATTATTTTAGTTGGAGGCTTAACAATTGTTTTTAGAAAGCTATCCCACAATAACCAAAGTAGTGATAATGGTCCTCATGATTTTACTACTCCAATTGTAGAAACAAATAATAACAAGGGGGCCACGAGTCCCAGCTGCCCTCCCTTGCCCGCACCGCCACATCCCCGAGAATCTGTGTAACGGTCACAAAAAAATATTCTGATCTGAAGGCTGAGAAGCATCAAACCAGTCAATTGAGTTGGGAGGTTTTGAGGAGTAATGGAGGGAGACATCGCAACATCATCAACACCAACACCAACGTCACCAGATTGTTCCCACATACAACAACACAAGCACATGGGTTCAAGCTTCAGAGATTGTTATTCCTCGCCTCTGCGTGTGGTTGTCCCCTTCACATCCTACCCCTTGTTTGTGCAGGAGCCTGTGTGTTTCATTGATTAATGGCATTCTTTATGTGTAGTAAAGAGCTTTACATCAGTTTTATACTCTCAAAAACAGATTAGAGTTCCTCTCCCAAAAGTGGGTTGTTTTTCTCGATTGATCATGGCCTTATGTAGTGCTGATGTTTGAGCTAAAAAATAAAAATAAAATATGTTCTCAGACATAAATGTGTCTGTGAATGAAATGAAATTATTGTGTGTTTGATTTGATTATTGTTGGTTAGAATTTAGGGGGTTTTTACACTTAGGAGAGAAGGTGAAAGGCCATAATTTTTTTAAAAATGGATTATTTGAAATTAAAAAATACATTTCACCTCATCTTTTCTTGGTAAGACTTTTAGACTGATTTTTTCTAAGTTCAAAAATTTAAAATTTAAAAATCATACATGCATCTTACTTATGTATATAATACATTGGTTTTCATAAATCAAATTCTATATAGGTAGTTTTGGCTGCAGTTTTTATGTTATTTTTTTTGTTTTATTTTATAACTTGTTTAAAATTTATCTACTTGAAAAGGCCATTAGATTAAATCAGACCAAATTTGATAATTAAGAAGTTCTATGTATATATATATATATATATATATATATACAAACATGTTTGTAAAAAAATGTTAGAAGATAATCACATTTTCAAGTTTATTTCGAAAAAAATGAATCATAAATTTTAAGTCTTAAAATTATAATCTTGGTGGTTTTAGATTTTTTAAATTCCAATTAAAAGTTATTTAAAAAATAGTATCTCTAATTTTATATATATTACAGAATTGAAGTAAAAAATATCTTTACATATAAATATATAATAAATATACAATAGTAGTTCATAATTTATGATTTTTATAATAATTAGTTCAATAAAAGTACAAAAAGAATATTATAAGATAGTAATGAGGCTTTAAGATTAAATTTTGTATTTAAGATCATCAGATTTCTAAAAACAATTATTTTTCTATTTGTCTACTTTTTTCTTTATCTAATTAAAGTAGAATGACTTCCTTGTATTGGTTTTAGTATAAAAACTTTTTTTTTTTAAAGATATTCTAAAAGTCTTAGATGATCATTTAAATATAAATATAATCACAATAGATTTATTAACTTGTTGGTAATTAAAAAACATATATAGATATCCATATTCTATCTTTAAAACTCAAATATATATTGAGTAAGTGGTTGTATTTTTTTTTTGTTAGCCTTTCATCACTATTTATTTTCATCTGTATTTTTCAAATCTCAGTTAACATACTGAGCCACAAGATTTTTTTGATTTTATTTATCTCTCTCTCTCTTTCAAAACTAAAGTATTCTAATGTTTAATTATTATTCTTAATATAAGTAGTATCCTTCAAAATGAATATTTTTTTTTTTTTTTTTTTTTTCTGAAAAGTATTTTCAAAAGCTTATGATAATGATCTTAAGAAAAATAAAATCTATTATAATTTTTATGTTTATATCTAAAATTTTAATGAATTTTCAAAACTAAAGTATTCTAATGTTTAATTATTATTCTTAATATAAGTAGTATCCTTCAAAATGAATATTTTTCATGTAACTGGTTGGCACAAGTAAATGCTTGAGTAATGAATTTCTTCACAGTATCAGAATTTGGTAGTTTGAATAACAGAATTCTCACTCCACCTTTAGAATTTGTAAATTTATAATTTGGTATGAAATATTTGGTTGGGAAACTTTATTTTGTAGCTAAGGATTTAGTTGTAGTATAACCAAAGTTTAAGGAAAAGACTACAGTAGTCTTATATGATGGTAACCATCCCACTTGTCAAGACAAAGATGAAATTTTTTAATTAACAATTAACTAATCATATGAAAATTTTCACTTTTGTCATAAAGTATAAGTTTGTGATATAATTCTTTCATTATGATATCAACTAACAAGAATATAACATGACTATAAATGATAAAATTTCTACATTCAAAAACATACCATCACAATAAAAACAAGTATAGATCTCATAATAATGACCAGTGAAGAACAAACCAATGATATGAAGGCTTGCAACATGATAATATTATAAGTGTGCATAGTAACTCACTAACTCATTCACTAACTAACTCACTCACTAGGGCATGCATCTCCACTCGCCATGATCGCAATATGTGGACGTCGCCAACTCGTGTAACGTGCATTGCATCCGCACTCCTCAAGATTGCTGCTAGACCTCAGCGGCTCCAAAATGGATTAATGTATATATGAATGAATGAATGATCGATAATTAGATGGATAGATGGAAAGCATATTTTTGTGCGTCTTCCAAATTTGCCATTGCCTTCTGCTCACTCCTCCTCACTCTCCATTTAGAGGTCACTATTAGCTACTTTGTCGCCTTTACAACACTGCAACACTGTTCACTTGCTCCAAACAAGCAGAGAAGCATGCGAATACTTTAGCTAAAGTAGAGTTTATTCTCTGGAACAGTGGAGCATCTGGCGTTGTTTCTGACTTCTCCACACCAAGCATGTTGGAGTAAAAGAGAAAGAAGAATAAGTTACCTTGTAGAGGATATTATCTTAGGTAAGTTGCTAATGGTCAAAGGATTGATTCTTAGTGTATAGAAAGGACATCCTATGGATATAAGATGAGATTAAGGACCAAGAGTCAAAGTCAAGATGATAAAGTATGAATTAAAGAATATCTAAAGATTAGGTAAGAGTAATTAGTGTTTGGCATAAGATACCTTTGTGATTAGCAAGATGCCAAAGGATCCAAGGACCATAGGATATCTTCAAGGTATGTTAGGTACCAAAGGATTTTTGGACCAATGATCATGTGTGTAAAAGTCAATTAGTGGAAGTTGTTTTGAGGGCAGCAACTACAATCTATAAGTATTGGGTGTTGGAAGTGAGAGATATCTTACTCCATACTTTCTTAGTGTACAACCTTGCTGATGCTATGTGTTGTCACTTCAAAGTTCTATTTCTTTAATAGGTTATGGGCCCACTCACCTTTAGTTGTGAGTTTTGAATTTCTTTGAAGTTCTTTTGTTGTTATGAGGAGTAGATCTTATGGTTGTTGCTGATGTAAGAATTTGGTATCTTCTAAATCTCTTTCTACATTTAGTTGTTGATGTAGTTTTACTCTTACTTGTTATTAAGTGCATTCATGGTCTTAGAGATTGTTATACACTCTAGAATATTATTTTAGAATACTAGTGGTATGTTTCTTTGCTGACCTACTGTGATTGTTGTTTTATTTATTCTACAATTTCTTTCAGAATAAAAATGTATAGAGAAATTTGAACACATGGAAAGACTAAGTGCATGAATTTTATTTGTTAGGGTCACACAATTAATCATATTCCGAACCAATAAAACACCAAGAAATATTACAATGCTTTATCTCAGTAATAATACTCCTTCATCAATTAATAACAACAGTGTGTAACCCTGCACTATCAAAAGAGCACTCAATACACATAATTTCCATCCAACACTAGAAATAATAGACTTCACTCCAATAAATCTGGATTCACATAATTTCTATAATCACAGATTTTTTTTGGCCAAAATACACACAGCTCTCAATAAACAACAATCATAATCTTCTAATAACTCCTCATATAATTCAATTACTCAATACTCTAATTACATAATCAATAACTCATAAATCAATCTCTGATTTATTCCACAAACTCACTACTCAATATTCAGAAATTATCCATTACTCTTCAAGAACAAAGAAAAACAAAGTGGTAGCACCAAACTTAACTCATGACTATCACAATCTGGCTCTCAGATTAACTTCAATAACTCCTATATACTTACTCCTTATTCCCAAATTCTAACCGTAATTTTATAATAAACCACTTTTAATAATTAAATTAACCATCCGTCCTTCTGATCTGACTATTCTATGGACTATTAGT